CAGTGGCGCAGTTCGCATGCGTCCCCCCCACCCAGTACAGCGTTTCGTGGCCCCATACGGGGCTCCCCCGAATGCGATACCCACAACTGCATATGGTTGGGTCCTTCGCCAGGCCAATTTGCCCCCTCCGACTTCTTACGGTATTGTAATCGTGCGCCCCGCGTGCAGTCGATCTGCCCCCGGGTATCTCGTAGGTTTCGTGGTCGCTCACGGCCCGCTATGGCGGGGGGCTTTAGGCTTCCACTGTATACCACCACCGCTTTGAATGCTGGATGCTGCTTCGATACCATGTCCTATTGCTATTATGATTTAGCTTCCTCTTCGTCTTCTTCTTCTTCTTCATCGGCACAGTTCGCGTATGTTTCGTTGTTCTGGTGGTATCCTTTCCCCACGGAGCGCATTTTGCCCGACACGAAGATATCTGCCCAACTGGGTCGATGCACGTATTGTCGCGTGCGCTCGTGAAGCGAACATAATACACATCCTAATTGTTTACGCTTCGCGAATCCCCACCAGCCCATTCAGAAGCCCTGCCAATGAAAGCTGACAGGAAAAGAGACGAAGAGACACATATAGTGAAGCAGAGTGTGCAAGGAGAGGAGAGGAAGGAGGGTGTTGAGCCATCTTGGAGGCTATCGTGGAGCATCGGAGCTCTTGTTGGAGCTACGGGGCTGTATTGAGGGATATTGGGGTCCTCTTGGAGCTCTTTTGGGGCATCTTGGGGCCCTCTTGGGGCTCTTTGAGGGGTCTTGGTGTCCTCTTGGGGCTCTTTTGTGGCGCCTTGCGGCCCTCATGGGGCCCTCTTGGGGCTCTCTTGGGCTCTCTTGGGGCCCTCTTGGGAGCTATGGAGCGCCTCCTGGGACCATCTTGGAGACCATCGATCAAAGGAGGGGGGGGGGTCCTCGATTTGCCTCCCCCCTCTGGGGACATCGAAATAGCCTCTTGGGGCCCTCTTGGGGCGATATGGGGCGCTCTTGGGGCAGTCTTGGGGGCCTCTTGGGCCCTCCTTGTAGCTCTCTTGGGCCATCTTAGGGCCATCTTGAGGCCTCAAAAGCGCATCGGAAGCGAAAAGGCCAGAAGGCAATCAGTGACGTTTCGTCAGTTGTTGAATTATTTTGACTTCTCGGGGAGGTACTGAGGGGTCGCTAAAAGCACCTGGAACCGTCTTGTGGCACTTGGGGCCTCTTGGAGGCATGTTGGAACCCATCTCGAACGATCTTGCGGTATCTTGAGGCATCTTGGAGGCCATCCTTGAGCATCGGAGGCCCTCTTAGAGCCATCATTGACGCTCTGACACCTCCGGCCCCTCCCCGTCCAGGTCCAGGGGAGGCGCCAGGGGGAGGGGTAAACCCTTCCCCGAAGGAGAAGGGTGTTTGGAAGAGGGAAGAAAAATATCGTTAGACCACCTACGCCCACAGGGCTGGTGGGATTCGATGTTTTCGCACCTCACGCTGACTATTAGGACTTTCGTCGGATTTTTGCACTCTGCTCTCCTGGCTTCCTCTCCTGTAAAGCAATGGTGTTTTTGCCGCCAGGCAAACCTGGCGTCAGACGCCTCCCGAAGAACCCCCCAGGGAGAGGAAGGAGAGATGGAGGCGAGGCCCAGGATCCTAGGTCAGGTTGACGGGAGATCAGTTGCCCCCCAGGCCCTCCCCCCGCCCAGTCCGCGGCGGCCCGCTGTGGAAGGAGGGCCGCCAGAGGAAATCCGGGATGTGCCAATGTGCTACAGTGCCTTCACGTCACAGGCTCTCTCCTCAGAGGTCCCTACGAGCCTTCCTTTTCATTTCATGGGACCCTCCCCTTGAAAGACCAGCGATCGACCCGTTTTGAAAAGGAGCTGCACTGCATTGTTCAAGTTGGTTGTTAGGAGCAAGACAAGGCAGAACCGAAAGGCTCCATGAGGTATCCAGCGGGAGCCCCCGCTTTGAGGATGAGCCGCCGTCCATCCGTGCAGCTGCAGCACAAATTTACACCTATGCATGGTGGTACATTTGTCCGAAAATGCGCAGGCGAGCGCCATTTTAAACAGAAACCGCCCCTGCTGATGCAACCTTTCCAGACAATTGTGCACGGTGCTCAGGCGTGAATCGCATTTTGAAAAGCAGTCGTCCTTCATGCTCACAGGTCTTGCAAGTTTTAAGATGAATTTGCGCGGTGCTCAGGCGACAGCCGCATTTTGAAGCAGACCCGGCCTCCGTCCCTGTAGCGGCTACAAGTTTTAATGCTTTGCGCGACGCCAAGGCGAGAGAGCCTCAGTTTGAAAACGGCCCGCCCCCATGTTGGTAATTGCTGCAAGCTTTGTACATGAAAGCGTGATGCAGGGGCTCAGTTTTTGTAAACAGCCCACCATCCATCCCTGTAACAGTTGTGAAGTTCATGCTTCAGGGACGTACATCGTGCAGAAGTCTGAGGCGAAATGCCCGGCCCGCACTGCCGATACGTCTGGTGGTCAGGCAGGGAGGAGTTATCTTCAAGGAAAAGGCATGGACGGGGAGGAGAAGGAGCAGGGAGAGGAAAGGAGGAAGAGGGGGAGGGATAGGGGGAGGGGGAGAAGCTGGAGAGATAGAGGACGAGGAACGCGTAGTCTCGGATATAGGCACGGACGGCTCCCTTCACCAGCCAATTTTGGGTGCTGTTCGATGAATGGGGACACCAACCTCATTGCCTAAACTGGGGATGATGGATAGCATCGGTGTTGCGAATTCGAACCAGGACTGGTCGACTCTCCTTCACTGACTGACCGCTTCGCTGGCCATAGTGCCAATTGTGGATCCAGTCGAATCCAAGCAGTGGAGCGGCATTCCCATCCCTGAGAGGGGAAGCGAGGTTGCATGTGTAGTGGTCCACACAATTGTATGAGTCAGCGGTGGGAGACAGGCCAACCCCTGCGTGGAACGTGCGATAGAGGTGTAGGGGCACTTGCGGCAGCCTTGCGACCAGAAGGAATACCACTTACCTCGCCGTGGCGGCCCACGCCCTGCGCGCCGCGTGGTTGGGCCGTCTGGAGACAACCTTGGACATTGATGCGTCTTCGGCCTGGCCGTCTCCGAGCCGTCTTTGGGCAATGTTGGGGCTCTCCTGGGGGGAAGCCGTGTTGGGTCGCAGGAGTGTTGTTGCCTGGAGGCTTGCAGTGAGCAGTGTTGCGCTTTTCAGATCGGTAAACCAGATCGCCCTTTGGCGATCGCCCTTCACAGAAAACGAGAAATGCATGGGGGAAGGTGGAGAATTGAAGCGGGAGCTAGAATAACAGAGAGAGGGAGAAAGATATATAAAGAGAGAGGGAGATAGAGAGAGCGAGAGAGAGAGAGAGATCACGAGAGATGAAGAGCAATAGATGTGGAGATAAGCGAGATATGCATGTATTAAAGTGTGTACGGGAGGAAGAGAGAGAGAGAGAGAGAGAGACAGATAGAGAGAACAAACAAAGACACACACATGTATGTATACAGCGAGTAGCGAGCACCTTTGGACATGGTGCCCAGTTCCCGCGCCTGCCTGGATACTGGTCCCGGCGACGCACCAAGCCTCCTCCCACACGCCATCCTCACCCCTGGCGGCCACGCACGGACGCTCGCTGTCTTTTTACATCAAGTCTCCTACAGGTACCACGTTGCGCTAGGCAAAACCCCCCTGAAAGCGGACAACGCGGCGCAACTCATTCGCTGGGATGGTGGTCGACCGCTCCAGCGACATCCCCGAGGACGACGACATAACCATATCCATGCCAGGCGCTGATGCAGACAGCGCCTGGATGCGTCATGACACCGCCTGCCGGGAGTGTATGCCACACGGCATCCCGCCCTGCTCTCTGCACGGCTCCACCACCCTGCACGGCACACGGCTGGCTGGCCAACCGAGCGGGCGGCGACTGTAGAAGGCTGGCAGCTGCCACGGGCACAACCCTGCCCGGCCAGCACCTCCTACATCTCCGTTCCACCCACGCGGTCGCAGGGTGGCTGCTGGCCGGGCCCGGGTGGTTCCCTTCCCCCCGCGCCAAGGAAGACAGTCCCACCGGACACTGGACAGGCACCTATTGCAGGACATGCGCAAGACACTGCCTTATACTCGTCGCCTCCCGACCCATGGAGCACGGGCAGGAGGTCACTGTCAGCAACTCCCCCATCCCGGATCAGGACCGCGCCCAATGGCCGTACGAGGTCACCTTCGACGGCGGAACCCGCTCCATCGCCGGAAGGACGAATGTGGCCAGAGCTGGCGCCACACTATGGCACCACCCGGCCTTTGGTGGGCCACCCACCAGGATCGCCTGTTGCGTGGTTCCTGGCTCAGACAGCGCTCAAGTGGGCGAAACCACTGGCTGTCGGCCCGGGCTGGGCCTGCTGGGCGCTCTAGATGCGTCCACCGACGGGGCACTCGCCGCCATAATCGTCGGCGACAACCTCGCCGCCGTCCGGTACGCGGCCGGCACAGGGAGGTACAGGAGACTGCACCTGTGCGCGCAAATGGATCAAGGCCTCCGTCCCTTGGCGGCCAAGGGGTGGCGGCTTACGTGGCAGGCCGTCAGAAGACGGCTAAACAAGGCCGCGGACGCGCTTGCAACACTTGGGGTGTTTTGGGCCGACAATCTTAGGCAGGAAGGGCACGCCGCCGTCTCTACATGGATCGTGTGGCACGCCACCCCCACTCGGGACGTACCATACGCCTTCCCCGATCCTGGCCTAGCTGGGCCCCCCGCCTCCGACCTCCCCGCAGCCGTCGAGGCATTCGAGATGCTTGCCAACAGGGGTAGCAGGAACAGAGGTAGTGCCTAATCTCCCCCCCCCCCTCGCCCTCCCGCCGCCGCAGCCGCTGAGGCTCGGGACGCCGCCTTCCGCATCAGCAACAACCTGGACGTTGGGCTTCTTTCGCCCCCTGATCCCCAGGGTGGCCAAAGCCAAGATCGTGGCCAGATGGCCGCATGCTGCCCCTTGCCGTCCGCATCCACTCAGGGACAAGAAGGGGCGCATCATCTTCACGTGTCGCGAGGCCCCCGGCGCCAGGTGGACCTACATGGACGACAACAACGGCGGTGGGCACTGGGGCCGGCTATGCGACGAGTGCGGCAAGGCGGTCAACGACCCGGAGCACTTCACGTCGACCGAGCACATGAAGCAGCGCAAGCAGATCCAGTTCGCAAAGTACATGGACGGCGACGACCCCCAGGGGCTACCTGATCCTCAACGTTTCATAATGGGAGGCGACCTGTGGACCATGACCCGGGGCAGAGCCACACAGGAGATCCCGAGAATGCAGTGCCCAGGGTGGTGCTGGGACTGGGATCTTTACGGGGGACGTTCCCCCATCGACCCCTGCGTCTACGAGTCGGACTGGGACGCGATACCGATCGGATTTCCAGCGTGCTACGACGGGCCCGGATACTCCCCCCCGCTAGGGCTGGTGATCAGCAACATCAAAGCACCGCCCCCCTGGACCAAGACCACCCGCCCAAAGCAGCAGACAAAGGAGCAACAATTCCACGGCGCAGGACAGGCACTGGCCGGCTCCCTGGCCATGAGGGGTGCGTCCAGCTCCGCCTCGGGACAGTCCGCCCGCGCACCGCCGCCTCCCCCTGGGTCTCCGCCTTCAGCCCAGTCGGCCATCCCTGGGCCCCCCCCTGGGCACCCTCCTCCGGCGGCCCCGCCGGCTCCGGGGGATACTCTGGCACCTCCACGGCGCCGCGCAAAGCCGGAACGCCAGCCCCTTCGTCGCCGGGGGCGCCCGCCACTGAAGAATGGCACATACAGCTCGCCTCTACAGCGCCCCCCGGTACATGGTCCCAAACGGCACGGCGGCGCGCCCCTGCCTAGGGCCAGACCCGGGAGCAGTCCCGCTACAGGCCGACTGGATTCGACGGCTGCAGATAAATGGCAAGGAGCTAGAGAGGGCCTTCTTCACCGAGTCACACGCGGACGTGGGGCCCCCCGACGACGGCTCCGCCACTTCCCGGCAAATCATCGCTAGCAAGATTACCTGCGCTCGGGACGCGCAGATCCTTACACGTTCCCTGCCGAGCCAGCAGTGCCAAGAGCTCCTGGGCATGCGCCAGTAGCAAGATCGGCTCAAAGGACAGCGACCGTGGCAGAGTGAATGCTACCTGCTGGTTTGGGACAGGAGGTGGGCCATGGAGTGGACAGAGCGCGACGTGACGGCTGGCGCCCCGAACCCCTTCCTGATCTCCAAGTCCTCGCCAACGGTGGACTTCCTGGCAGAGATGACCCCCGTCTGGCCTCCCGCCCCCGGCGCCGGGGTCTCGGGCATTGACCGGCGCTGCCCTGCGGGCGTAGCGCTGGTCCACAACGACGCCAAGAGGAACGGGCCCTTTCGCGACAACGACGACGCAGTTCAAAGGCCAACCCCAGGCCAACACTACTACAGGGTCGACCGCGTCACGAGGAAGGCCCAATTCAACAAGGTCAACGCAGCGATGCGTGAATGCTTGTCAGCGGGGTGCGATAGGGCGGCCCTTTGGGCCACTGCCCTCCCGCCCATCGTCTGGGCGCTCGTTTTCCGACGCGAGGACTGCGACAACATGGCCAGCGCCCTGTCCGTGCCGGCGCAAGGCGCAGCGGCGGATCGGCTGCTCGCAGCGACACTGGAACGCACTCTCGATGACCCCGACCAACCCAGCGCCAACCAACGTACGACCGCGCCCGCGCTGAAGGCCCAGCTGGCGGACGACTCCCCCGGCAGCGTCTTCCAACGACTGCTGCCTGCCCCGAAGGAGGAGCCCTGGATCGCACCTGCAACCTGCGCCGCGCCAGCGCCGCCCAGCGGGGCTGCGTGCTTGCGACTCAGAATCCCCCCCTTGCCCTATGTCGCGGGCCGCCCGGGACAGGGGGGGCCAAGGTCGCGGCCTGCGTGGCGGACGCCTACATGTCGCGCCGCGCCCCAGAGCGGGGCGCGGGGTGCTTTGGCGGCGCCAGCTGATCCATGGGCAACTTGGCAGAGCAGATCGGGGAGAATCTGACCACGGCCTTCAACGACCTGCCCCCTCGCTTGGCCGTGCGCCTCGCGCGCGAGGACAAAGTATAGGGCAACGTAGCCAAGGAGATCGCCCCCGTTGCCAACCGCGCCAAAATGCACGACATATCGGAGGGCGAGGTCACCGCGGAACATGCGCACTGGTTCCACAAGTTCCGGGCGGAAGTCGCGACTGAAGCAAATTCATCTTGGCCACGCACGAGGAAGGGGTCCGACCTCTGGGACAAGAAATTCCCCATGTGCCTCCTGGACGAAGCAGGGCAGACGTCCGAACCCATGGCCAGCATGTCCCTGCTCCACGCTGTCAGATGCGGGGCCAGAACGGTCGTCTTCGGCGACGAGCGGCAGCTGTGCCCGATCGCCAAATCCCAACAGGCACTACGCTGGGGTCTAGGCGTTTCCATTCTCGCCAAGTACGGGACGGCCAAAGGGGACGTCCCAGAATGCAACGTCACTCTGGAGGAATGCGATCGGATCCATCCGCCCCTGCTCGCATGGCCCTCGCTCGCGTTCTACGGGGGCAGGCTCGCCCCAGCCATCCTGGGCCCCGCGCGGCAGCGACCGTGCGCCGAAGGACTGCAGCGGCCGCTCGCATTGCCTTTGTCCAACCAAGAGTCTGAAGCAGCAAAGAAAAAGGGGCGGCAGGTGCGGGCCCGACAACTCCCTGATCGACGCCGTACGCGAATTCCGAAAGGAAGCGGTGGCACCGTCAACGACCAGCATCGCTTCATACTTGCACACGCCCCCTCGCAAGAGGTCCAGTCCTTGATTCAGGACGGCCGCGCCAACGTCCACGAAGCACGCGCAGTGGTGGCCCTGGCGAAGGCCCTCGAACCATGGGTACGAAGGACCAACAACACCATCCTCGTGCTGTCGCCGTGCAAACTGCAGCTGACCCCCGTGCTGGCAGGCAGCCCCTGCTCGGCGCAGGACATCAGACGCTGCTCGCGGGCGGCGCAAGTGGGCGGATCCGAGGTGGGCGCGAGCGCCCCCGGCCCCCGGCGCCACCCGGGCCGGGGCAGCTCAAATTCCTCTCAGGCCAGCAAGGGGCTCACGGGAGGGACGTGGATCAATCGCGCCACGACAGCTAACGGCTTGAGCGAACGCTTCAGCGGACTCGCAGACCTGTTCCCAGACCTCCTGGAAAGCGACGCGATCCGTGTCACCACCATCGACTCCGCCCAGGGACAAGAGGCGTCCGTTGTCATACTAATGACCACCCGTGCCAACTCCATACACAATTGGGGCCACGTGGACGACCGACACCGCATCAACGTAGGGCCGACGCGCCCACAATGCAACCTCATCATGACCCCTGATGCAAGGATGTTCCGCACGGCCACAGACGCTGCGATCCACCACCTGAGCACCTGGGCTCAGAATGCGGGCCTCGCCTTCGAGTTCCACCGCAACCTGGGCGGATCCCGGCGCCAGTCCAGAGTTGACCCCAGTGTCTTCAAGGACGACATTCCCGACACTTCCAACCCAGAAGAGAAGGCCGGCTGCTGGCGGAAGCCGACCGCAGGCGAAAAGAGGAGGAAGTGATCAGGGCCCGTCAAGCTTAGCAGGCTGGCTTCTCGGCGCGCGCCGACCTGCCGCTCCCGGCCGACCGCGGCTGGAAGGACCTGGAGGACGACGTCAACACCGCAGTGGTGCGACTATGGTACTGCCCAGCATTCGGACCCTGCATTCTACGGTGCCTCGGACTACATCCGCACCAGTACGGCGTCGTGGATCAGCCCACGGACCCCAGCCTGCAGGACAGGAAGGGATGGAGCATGAACGGGTACCTCTTCGTCTGCTCTACGCTGGTGGGACTGGGCGCCGGCAACCTGGTGTACACGGCGGTCTTTCCGATTATCATGTGGGCCATAGGGTTCGGAATCTCGAGTAACGGCTGAGCCACGACAACGCCTGCGCAGTCGACCCCAACCTGATCCCACCCAGAATGGGCCGACCGAACATGCCGGCAGCGTGGCACGTCAAGGAGGCCTGCGCTCCCACTAACGCCCCCAGGCGCAGACCCAAATGCTGGCAGCCGTCCACCTGCAAGTGCCAAAAGCACAAGGAGCCACCCACACCGCCGGTGTTTCAGGCCTTCTGCAACATGGACTCGAAAGGACGCTCGGCCACTGTCCTCAATACCCCTGGACAGCACTGGCGCGACCCTGGGAGCCATCCAAGCCAGGATCCTGCCCCTGCTCATACACCGCGAACCATGCGCCTGCCTGTGCCCGTGCGGGGGCGCCGAGGGCATCGGCGACGTGATCGAGGCCATCCTCGGCTCGTGCGAGCCGTGCCGCCCGCGCGACAAGACTGCTCGTGACCAGCTAGGCGCGCCGTTCGGACTGCAGGGGCGGCACTTCAGGGAGCTGCACTCGGCGCTGGAGCTCCTGATCACTGCAGTGCCCCGCCTGGTCATGGTTGCCCACCACCATCCCCTGGCCAGGCGCGCGAATGGCCCTGCAACCTGGAGGGGCCTCGAGGCTGGAAAGTCCCCACTCCAGGCCACCCTCGCAGTCATCGAAGGCGCCGTGTCTCCCGCCGACCTTTCGGCCCTGGCGAACCACGAGTGCGCCGTATGTGCGCTCTACGTCGACGTGCTCGGGTCCGGCATCGGCCTCGCCGACGACCCAACAGAGCAGGCAAGCAGCGTCGCCTGGATAGGCGGAGGACACTCGTTTACACGCCTGCACCTGGACGCGCCCGCCCCGCTCGGGCCGCGCCCTGGAGTGGCGCTAAGGCCCCCATGGATAGACGACCGAGACACCAGGTGGACGGAGGAACAGAACAAGGCCGAGTTCTATTGCCAAGGGTGCCTCCGCGGCCCCTTTAAACACGAGAAAGGGGCCTGCGTCAGCAACCGGATCCGCCAAACCATTGCGGTCAACAGGCTAACGGAGCACTACCAAGGAGGGGGCCTCACCTGGTTGTGCATCTGCTGCTGGGCCACGAAGGCCATGGAAAAAGCGCCGGGTCATTCCAGACGACGTGGACTTCAAGGGCTGGATCAACGACCGCCCCAGCATCTTGCCAGTGCGCACAACGCGCGCCCTGCCGGGACTGTGCCCCACGTCGACGCACACGGCCTTCACGCCCCTGGAGCAGCTGCTGGCCCCGCTGGAAGGCGAGCTGAATCCGCTCCGCGTCGGAGCCACACTCCCAGCCAATAACGCGAACGACGGTCGCCTGATCTCCCACTTCCACAAGAAGGATTTCGGCATCTGGCGACGCGACGGCTGCCCGCCATGCACAGAGGGGCACAAATGGCAACCATGACAGCCATTCACTGGCATGTACGGACACGCCGCTGACCCAGAAGGTCTCCACGCCGGCTTTAGCATGGTCCACGGGCCCCCACCCGCACAGCTAATGAGGGAGATGTTCCTGGCCAAGTGCTGGCACGCAGGCTGGCGCTGCAAGGAATGCCTGATCCACCAATTTGACATGGCCCCGCCAGCAGCGAAATACGTACTCGACAGGCGCGGCCCTGACGTATATCCGAGCGCAGGAGCCAGACCCCTCGCCGCGCTACCA